TCGTACAACCATTTTCTGCCGATAAATTGTGAAAAATGTTTGTATAACCGCGACGCTGAGGACGACACGAATTACAATAATTTACTAGTCGGTACATCGTGTCGTATATATTCACAGTGATCGTAAATGTGAATGGTCAAACTTTGATCCAGTAAACAGCGCTGAAATGACAGACCGTCCATGACGGTGAGGATTGAGATCAAATCAGAAAAAAAAGGGAAATCCTGGAGCTCTTTATAGGCCTTAGGCCGTCCAAGATGAATGGCCAAATCGTTGACAAGAAAAACAATGCTTACTTACTTACTTGGTAGCACGGCTTTCGTCTATATACTATTCCAGGCTTTCTTGCCTTTGCTAGTAGCTGAAGTTGGAGATGTATTTTTTTTTTTTTTAAATTTTACTTTAATTTGTTGCCCAAAGCCTTATTCTCGGACGCTGTTTATGTCTCGAGGTATATAAAGAGGGGGAAAACCTGCCAATGGTTCTTATATGGTTGTACCAATGTACCATGAATTAGCGCCAACTTCAAATCTATCCAAAATTCCATTTGCTCTCAATCAAAAACAATKTTCTACAATAACTCTTTTTCCGACTACGATCATATCCGCCTCTTAGGTAAAACCCACTCCCCTCCAACCACCAAACGTTTACTCAAACCATACCCATTAAATTGGACTGACTAACATAACTGAMCCTACCAATCAACCCCAAAATCCATCCACTAGTAGAGGCACAAGCCTGGAATAGTAAACGGCATAGCCACCCCTCCCAAAGCAAAGCAAAGAAAAGATTCACGTTATACTTTTATCTATACTGAGCGTTTGTGTAGGGGGAAACAATTAATAGTGTTGCGCTGACATAATTTCAAATTAAAACATTGCGAGTTATGAAATTAATCWAGAATTAAATATTAAATGGCAGAGGTGTTAAAACTTTTTCAACACGCGGCTTCTTTCTCTTTGGGTGTTCAGTGTTCACAATAATATGTTTACGGCTCCCAAATTATTATGAACAAATTGAAACAACAGATGGTCGAATCGTGAGGTGTGTCGTTTCATTTCATAATGATTGCAGATAATATATATTATAATAATTATACAGGACCTAGGTATGATGTTGGTTTTCGGTGCTATGACGCGGCTCCCTTTGCAAACTCTCGCGACGTCCCTGGGAGCCGCTACGCACAGTTTGAATACCTCTACTGGCTCTACTCTACTCTCTACTATATGATAGTATTGTTGTGTACGTCTACACGACAAATTAAATAAGTAAATAAAAAGTAGGCTCGGAGAAATAACTGACTATATCCTTTATTTTAAACAACGTAAAACAATTTAGTTAACATGAGTTTGGGAGGTTCGGACTGATATTTTGCTAGAATACGASTGCCCGTGCCTCGGGGACGAGCACGGTCGGCCGGCCCGCTGTGGCTTCAAAACTGTCCACACAGCGGAATGCCTTATGCTGTCGTCGTGCTTGTTCCCAATGGGTAGGCGGTTACATATATATATAATAATAATATAGACATACATATACATATAATATATGTATAATAAAAACTGCTTATACTATGATTTAATTAAATAACTWTAATGAAATGGGTTTATAACAGTATCTATGAACAAAACGTATGTAGGCATTCGAGTACGTTTTACCGTATTGAATACTTTCGATTTAAATACTTAAAAAATAACACTAGACACCA